TGCGCGGTTTCTATTCCGTATTATATTATTTTATCATTCGGCGTGTTCTTTTTAGTCTGTATCGCTTCCTATTGGGTTACTCCACATGTAACCTGCCCCTATACTAGGCAATGCCACACAATTATATGCTTTCACGGCTTGGGTTTCGGGGGAGTGTCGAAAACAAACCGCATATCTATTTTTACGAGGCCATAATAGGCGCTACGTACGGGGTATACACACCTGCCGTGTATTATAGACTATCAGCTATAGCTAATCAGTGGGCTACCTGGAAAATGTTGTGCCGTGTTATACACAGCAGAGGGACTCGCCGACGAGGCGACCATAGTTATTTCGGCTAGCTTAAATAATCACCACCAACTGACACTATTGGCGCTATTGTCATGGTCGCGTTCCCGCTCTCGGCTCCCCGCTCTAACTTCCTCTCCTTTATGATTTTATCCTGTCGCTGTAATTGAATAGAGCGCGCGGAACATTATACGGAGAGACCATGATGGCGGCGGTTCGTTTCCATGAGAGAGACGCATTACCGGTTTATTAATGACTATTTGGACGAGATGAGAGTGGAATTATGAGGCAACCCGTAATCGAAATTTGGCTGCAAATATTATATGGAATTTGTTTTGGGTGTAGGAGTTATGATGACGCAAAAGTAGGTAATAATATGAAAAATGTGACCTAAAATCTTTCTTGCATGGTAGGAGATTTATGTATGAATTTTGGCAAATAAATGAAGTATTCGCGGTTTGAGTGATTTTACTGGGAAATTCACGGGAGTGCCTACAAAGTTGTGTTTCATATATTGCCGGCATATGTGAATGCTAGACGACACCGCATATAGATGGGCATAGTGAAAGCTCGATCAATCACCTAGCTTAATTGGTAGATACTAGTAGACACGAAATTAAATTGGATCCGGGCGACTAGTGTGCAAATATATAAACTTAGGAATCTGTAATAGTCGACTGTTTTTCTAATTGATTTATCAGAAAATTTGAACAAACAAGGCGAGAGAGGCTACACTCTTTTTATATGGTTCTACTGTGTACACACACCCTGCTGTGTAACGTTTGTCTTAAAATAGAAATATTTACACAACAAGAACGATTTCATATTTTATTGACATTTCTCGCTGAAGCCGTCTCCACGACACGTAGGGGTGGTATATTATATAAATTTTTTAGATCCATGTAGACATCTTCAGCACAAGAGCTAAATGATATATTAAATAAAAAGGGTTATATGTTTAAAATTCGTAATGCCAGTTGATAATCATAGGAGTTTACATGTATTTTTGCGTCTTTCTTTTTTACTGATAATTACTGATCTGATATTAACATGTTTTTTATTATCATGTGGCAACTAATTTTATCACCATTTTGCGTAAATCCTGAATCATCGTAACTTCAAGCAAGATCGATGTTTTTAACAGATTTCTGCAACCGATCCGTTGTCACTGCCGCAATAAACATGGTCGAACATTTATAGTCGATGTGTATAAAAAGATGACCAACCCGTCCGAAAATAGCCGTGTTTATGGCAATTGGTAATAAAGGTTTCATCATCAAATTTGGTTGATTCAGCTTATTAATGCATGGACAATGCATATATCGGCGTCTGCGATCGGTGTCGGCCCGGAAACCTCCGTTTACGTCATGATTAATGACGTCACAGGTCAACGCGCAACATAAGTCGTCTGGCCGCGCAATATGGCAGAAGAGTGACATTCAAACAGAACCGTTTCGTGCAGTCGATATGTATCGAACGTCAAATAATAAGTCAACCTTTACAGTCTTTCTTTCTCTCTCTCTCTCTCTCTCTCTCTCTCTCTCTCTCTCTTTCTGGCGTTGCTAAACCTAATAGTGAAATTAATCCACGTGAACTATACTAGCCTTCTATATACGGGACGACTGCGGCTCGACTTTTTTACTTTAGTTTATATTTTCTCAGCCCCGTCTCGTTTCTGCTTGCCGTCGATAACGCCTACGGCCGTGTAAATTGCGGATAGCATGTCGCTGCATGATGCCACTGTTTGCGCTTCTGATGGACCTGATCAAAAATCCAATTCCCCATCTGGGAGCACGACAGCGCGTCGGGCGATTACTGCCCACCAGAGGATGAAATAACATGGCGGCGGCGGCTCGCGTCCGAACGTACTGAATCAAAATATGTAAATCAGCCGAACGCACGCGAGCGGGGGAAACATAATCACAAAGTGGCAGTGATGTGACTCACGAGAGCTTTACACGGACAAGTACCCTCTCTGGAAGAACAAACACGAGAGAGAGAGTGAGAGAGAGAGAGAGAGAGAGAGAGAGAGAGAGAGAGAAAGTGGCGGCTGTGCGGAGAAGATAAGCGGATATTTCCTACGGGATATGTGCATTTCTATAGTGAATACTCTATGGTGTGAGCACGTGACACGGGCATGACGTTTCCTATATCCCGGACGCGCGCACAGTATTAACACCCACAAAATTAAACATGAATCAATCTGTCATGTACGTATTAGCCAGAGGACCGAAATGAAAACCAGTGGACAACAGACAGTAGACTGTCGAACTCATGCATATATACGCATTTGGATCTCTAGGCACGTCAGATGACATCAGGGTTCACGGAGACCTCTTTGGCTGCAAAACCCATCTTACTGAACTTACTCAATGTTATCTGAAATTTATCTGAACTTACTCATGTACTTATGTTGCGCGCCACTAGGCCTATATCTCATGTTGCTAGGCAACGCTGTCGCTGTCCCTCTCTCTTTCTCATGTGAAGCTGACGGTAGAAAATGTTAATAAACAATTTAATAGCTAATTAATACATTTAAATAATATACGATGTCACGTGTACCCTTTTTTCATGAGACTACGCATCTATGCGGCGTATAGTTGTTGTTAGGCACACGTATAACCACCTATCACCCGCGTCTTTACGTTCAGACACTCGGCTATAGTTTCCATGGAATCAGTTCAACACTGCAGGTATATATCCTCAACTCCGACGCTGATGCCGCGATACCAGATGGCACAGCGAGATACGTCTCATAAATTATTAAAACCGCGCTCGCATATTCACCGTACAGATACAGCGCGTGCATGCATGCGTATATGAGCGGGTGGAACTTACGACGTTTTAAAGCGCGTACCACTATATAGGTAGTATGAGGTATACACCAGTATATATACTACTGTATAGTAAGCTACGATGATATAATCACCTGACTCACGTCATCACTTGCCTGCGTCTGCACGTCATATAGAAGGTAGCGGCATTGATAACGACGTACAGGGATTACTATAGCGTGGCCATGCAGTCACCACGACGCCTATAGAACTGGTTTGCGCAAAATATAAATATTTTAACAAAATAACTGGCCAAAGTCAATACCGAATGCCGCCTACATTCCGCATGTTAGCAGCAGTGTTTGTAGTAGTCATAGTGGATTTATTCTCATGTGTAAAATACGTTCAACTCGTGCAAAGATTTAGATTAGAAGCTAAGACTTAGGTAGAAGCTAATGTGATCTAATTTAGAAACGAAATTTTGTTCCTGTTTGGATGTTTCTCGAATTTAATGATCATGTGATGGAAGGTTTTCGCAAAGCGGCTTGTAACACATTATTTGTTCTTTATTCTAAGACGCGCCCCGCCATTTGTTGGTAATAATTTCGTCAAAAGGCAGGAGTTGACTTGGTCGGCAGTAAATTGTCAACATGTTTTTTGCGCTAACGCGCGCGTTTAACGGCGAACTATAGTGGTCGTGAATGCAACTAGATTATTGCGGTGTTATCCGTTTCACATTTCTGCTGGGGAGAGATACGCGTCTCATTGACTGTGTGCTTCGATCATCACATGCTGCTGCGTCGGGATTACACTCTCGAGTTAATCACCTCGCCGTTTTCGTACATTTCACGATTTCTCCGGTTGTTATTGTTATAAAAAAAATTATGGATTTAGATTTACATCCGCTAAGATGTTCAGCTAGAGAACTCTCGCTCGCTAGAGAGCGCTCGCTATGATAAGAGAACCGTAAGGGTTGGCGTTACCCACGACGCTCTGTGTTCCGCTACCCTGCCGTCATCGTTCCTGCCGGCGCTCGCGACTATTATGACAAGTTGATGAATCGTTGCGATGTTGTGAGGTCGAGCTGTCGGCGACTCTAGCTACCATGCAGAAGTGGCGAGCAACACAAGCGCCTGCGGACGGATTCTGTGCAAGAGCTACGGTGTAGCATAGCAAGTGACTCTCGCGTCGTGTAATGTGAGAGGCGATATTATATACCTGGGAGGTGTGCATCCTAACCATCCATACCCCGCAGGATAGGTCCGCCTTTCTTACGTAACTCGACGCGTTAGTGCGGCAACGCTGCGCCGACTAAAAAGAATATATTTTCGGAGGTGCGAATGAGTTTGTCGGACAGCAGGTAAATGTAAATTCGTCGGCCGCATCCGTCGGCGTGTGCGAGAACTCCTGTTGCGCTGCGGCCGCAATGGGGGAAAAATGTCGCCGCGCTTTTCATCTTCGATCGTCTGAATGTGACCCCGTCACCCCTCGCAACTCGACGCAAGACGGCTCTTGTGCTGCTCGTCCATTATGTACTCCTGCTCACGTGCTAACTAACTATATATATATATATATATATATATATAATAGAGAGAGAGAGTGAGAGAGAGAAGATATATATATATATATATATATAAATATATATATATATAATAGATAGATATATATATATATATATATATATATAGATAGATATAGATACATATATCGCGTGTGCGTTCGATTTTACTTTTGATCTATAGTCATGAATGTACGCGCGGTTTCGGCCGTACCTGAGTGTTTGCTCTAGCTGTCTATGGCGTAATGTAATGTTGGTGCGTCGTCGGTATACTGTACGCGCACGCGCTATAGCTCTGGTATCGACGTGTGTGGAACGGTTGCCGCCGAGTCTACGCCGGTGCTCTGAGTTTACAGAAGGTCTTGTTCTTGTGATTTCAGGTTTTCGCGTTTGACGCACCGCGAGTAAGCCGGACGAGATAACGTCTATCCGCATTACGCAGGTAAGCGCCGCGCTACGTACGTGCGCTGTAAATCTCTACTATCTCCCTCAACTGCTACATACCACCACACGCAGACACTTGGAGCGTTTCAATAAAATATAATGCTATAAATAAATACGAAATCTATTTACTACCAAAGTCTTAATGTTTTTCTACTCTCTTTCGCCTATTATTGCCGACAATTTCCTGTAAATGCCGTGCTGCACATGCTCCTCTGCAACACACATGTCCACCGCACGCACGCTGCCGCACACTGACACATAAATGTAGACCGTGCGTGCGGTGGACATGTGTGTTGAAGAGGAGCATTTGCAGCACGGCATTTACAGGAAATTGTCGGCAATAATAGGCGAAACAGAGTAGAGAAACATTAAGACTTTGGTAGTAAATAGATTTCGTATTTATTTAGCATTATATTTTATTGAAACGCTCCAAGTGCCTGTGACCTCCCTCTACTGCCACACACCTTCAGCACTTCGTCTGTCCGCCTGCTACAGACTCGGCGTGCTCTCCAAAATTATGTTGTAAATTCATTACCATTGAATTCATTCAAAGGCCGGCTGGACGAATCGAAGCTCGGGTGGTCGCATGTGCTAATGTAATAGGCGATAATCTGCGTTACCCGTATGAAGTCCAAGTTATATAGCAATGATATTATTATAGCAGCCACGGGAGAAAATAATATCAGCTGAAAGGCCTCTAGTCTAGTCTAACAGCGGAACAAGACGTGTTATGATATGATATTATATCTGCCTTAAAGAGGAGCCGCAATATCTATTTATGTGCGATTATTTTTAATAATTTTGGTATATGTTTATCGATATTTATTATGATATACCCCTAACTGTATAGTAGACAAGTCTATTATACCTTTCATTTCTCCTACTCATCTATGATCCTGACCGCAAAGCTCCCCCTCATTCACAACATAAATCACTAAATCCTGCCACACATGGCGCTAACCTCCTACACTTAATGGCATTAGTTGTGTAGTAAAAGTAATCATTACGACGGCCTGAGAGCGCTCCCGTAATATCATTCGTCGACTCTCTATTCGTGTCTATGTTGTTGCAACATCCGACCGAGTCTCTCCAGCTGTGACATGAACAGTTCGAGTTGCAACATTCCCATATATATATATATGTGTGTGTGTGTGTGTGTGTGTGTGTGTGTGTGTGTGTGTGTGTGTGTGTGTGTGTGTGTGTGTGTGTGTGTGTGACGCGGTGGTGGTGTGTGTGGTGCAAAGCGCTTGCTTGTAATATATGTAAGCGCGCGTGCAGCGTTTTGCGTCGTGTGTGCCTGCATGTGTGCCGTGTGTATGTACGTGCGTGCTTTCGTGCGGCGTATGTGTGTGTGTGTGTGTGTGTGTGTGTGTGTTTGTGCGTGTGTGTGCGCGCACGCGCACGCGTGTGTGTGTAGGTGTGTGTGCGCGCGCGATTGTGTGTATATGTGAGCGCGCGTGCATGCGTGCGTATGTGTGCCTGCATGCGTGCGTGTGTATGTACTCGCGTGCTTTCGTGCGTGCGAGTGTGTGTGCGTGTGCGTGCAATAGTTACGATCTCATGCAAGGCGCCCATGCGACTACTCGTACCGTGAGTCACACCGCGCTGCGTCGCTACCTTATATTGATTTCGTGCCGCGCTTATATTGCCTATAAATCTCCTGATTCATTCTGTCACCTGTAATGAAAGTGCGGTGTTTTACAACCGGGAGATCGAGCCGCGGCGAGACATATAATAGTAATATACTATATGTTACGAGTCCCATGTGGCACGTATACTGCACACGCGCGGTGCGAGTGAAAATTGCAACGCTAGAAGCAGTGTGTATAGAGGCTCTTCTCGAACGGCCTCCTCTTTATGTTCAGCATAATTCATGCTCCACCGCGGCACTGTACTGTCGGCATTCATTATATCTACTCATCTAGAGGTGCACGAAGCAACACACGCGCGCCACGCATGCATAAACGCACGCATGCACGTACACGCACACCAGCACTACACACGCACACGCACACGCATGCACGCACACGCACACCAGCACTACACACGCACACGCACACGCATGCACGCACACGCACACCAGCACTACACACGCACACGCGCACACATGCATGCGCACGCACAAATACACACACATACACACGCGCGGGCATACGCATACTAATAGGAGCGCACACAAGCAGACGCTAATATATTATACAGGCAGTATAATACCTCATGCATATCCTGTCAACAGAGCACAGAGCATAGTGAGCGCAGTATTACGGATTAGGTGCGGTAATCTAGACCCGAGGACAGGCGAAGGCCCACCATTCACGTAAAGGCTGCGAAAACTTTAAATAAGTTTCAAGCAATAGTAGGGGCGGACTCGCAGATGGCGAAACCGGTTGCAGCAAACGGCGACTCAATTTGTCACAGGTGACAGAACGCGAGGCGGTTGACATGCAGTGCGACAACTAACTCAAACTATTTAGGTGGACCACTGACTGGCATGTAGGTACGACAAAATATTACTCGCGACTATGTCGCACTGGTTTAGGTAAGCGCCTATATAGATAAAACTTCTCGTTCTGTGAGGCAGAAACTGACGTGTATCTCCTGGTTAAGTACGTGGCTATACCAGCTATACTATACTAAGTGAATGCGTAATGCAATCAGGTATGGTCGTGTAAACAATTGAGTGACTGGTGATCCAGGTATATTATATGCATGACTGTATGGTGAACCAAATATATTATATAAACTATGTGTGGTGAGTGGCAGGTATATTATATACATGATTGTGTGGTGAGCCAGATATACTGCGTACAAGGCTGACTGTGTAGAGAGAGCGGGTATACAATACCTGCGTGTGTGTGCAGTGGGATCAGGTTGTCTTGTTTCATGGACGGCACGTGTTCACTGCGTTCGCAGCATGGACCAACGCGGCTGTGCGTTTACTATAGAAAGCGTTTCATGCGGCGTAGAATTGGCATCGCCGATTCACAGTTTAGATATATACAGGTAGGCCTACTGCCTTATTGCCAGCGTTGCATACTGAAATGTGTTGCTACCTTTGATCACCCTGTGAAAGCCAATTATATTGCCCGTTGAATCTGAGACGGCCTGTGTTACTTACCGTGCTGCATTCTTATCAGCGTTGGAAACGCGAAATGCTGCCCTGGTTATTAGACAATATTATATTATATTGATTCAATACAAATGCGGCAATTTTGCCCTTCTCCTTGCTCGGCCGCCCTCGCATCATTGTGGAATCGTGCCACCAGACTGCACTGTTCTCGCATAGATTTGTCTATTCTTGCGTTCGAGTTCACCTATATCTGTAGTCATCATCACACTGATCAGTATCATCGTCCGCATATAGCTGAACAGTTCACCTGCGCGCGCGATAGAATTAACGAAATTCCTGGCGACAGGTTGGTGGCAATACCGTCGCTCGGTCGTCCCTGGTGGCGCTGCCATTGTCAACTATTGTCGGGCAAGCTGCGCGCGACAAAGCCCGGATGAACACGGGGCGGGCTTTTAGTTCGGCTAATCCCCGAAAAGTTTGGATATCCCACGCGCTGGCCCTGTCAAGTGGCAGGTAAAGCCCGCCGCGCGGCCTTTCATATACATTAGGGGATGTTTGGTGGTCTTTGTGGGTCCAGGCGAACAATTCGCGTTGCATCTAGAAGGTGGAGGTACAACACGCGAGTGCTAATATAATATATTCTGTAAGACTTTAAATTGTGGATTCTTATATACACAGTTGGTTTACACACATGTGTGGCGTCTGCTTATTTCGCAGCGAATAAGAATTGAAAGTATGACTATTAGAGATCGACTGATAATGCTCATGAATTTTCAAGATTGAAGAGATATTTTCCTGGTTCGCGAACAAAGTGCCAGCATGGTGGCGCGCCATGCGGTGGAGGCATTTATAATGTATTTGCTTTTAACGCGATGCTTTCTCCGTCTCTCTCTCTTTTCACGTATCATCTGGACGCACAGACCGCCACTTGTCCACTAGCCTCCACACAATATGCTGCGCGTGAGGGCAACGTTTCCCCTTAGTGCTTGCCAGCAGCACGTGAGTGGCAGCTGAAGTGGTCAGTCGGAGTAGTCCTTGTGGTCAGCGTGAAATTAGTTTTCGCCAAAGTGCGTAGCAATTTTAATTCGTTGCTCCGGGCGCTGTGGCGGAACTCGTCTGCCTGCTGTCTCGCGGTTAGTTACTCGCTTCAATATCACTCATCTATATACAACCTAATATCAGAGCATATAAATCAACGTTGCTATATATGCTCTGCTAATATTATAATAATATAAAGGGTTATATATCGATCATTGGTTGTCACAGATGATTCTATGAAAAACTAAGAAATTTCATTTGCGTAAACGGCATAGTCGGTCCATGCATGGACTTTGATGGTCGATATATCGGACGCGCCTTCCAATCGGCTACCTCTTCTGCTACGCCATGTTTAGTGAAATTGAGAGACCAGCCTATAAGAGGTGCTTACTGATGCGCAGCAAATATCCGTGCTGCGAGTCACTCTATATAGTCTAATCACGTAACGTACGTACACCGTCGAGGCATTAATACGCTACAGCGATGCATCCAGCCACCGCCCATGCTCTCACATACGTACGCCATTATACATGAATGATTTTACAAACGCCACTCAGACACCGAGGCTTAGCAACATGGCGATTAAATGTAAACACTTGCATTTCAACAGCGTGGTCGAGTATTCTCGCCATACATTCTCGATCCACCGCCAGCTACCTGATCTACGGAAGCTTTGACTCGATCCGATGCCGCCGAAGTATCCAGTCTCTCGGATTTTCAATCTATTGTCTCGCGTAGCACGTAACGTGTGAGCGTATGCTACCCGCGATCAATGGCAGCGGAATGAAGTAGTCAGGCATACCTGGTTGCCGCCATAGCGGCGCCTTGCCATCGCCCGTGGTAATACACAACCTATCGTACTCGTAAGGCGTTAAATCTCCGTCTCAACA